CATTCCTGCCTCTGACGCTCCACCTGTTCTCAGCCACAAATACAATTAAATATTTCCTACGTCCTTCTTTCTCCTCTCTGTCTTTATCACACCTTTCCTTACACCCCTTCTCCTTTCCTCCTCTTTTCATCTTGAGTGCGGCTGGGTTCCCCTTGTAACTTGCTGGTTCCTTTGAGTCTCAATGGCAGACACTGGCTTTGGGGAGTTCATAACCTTTCACCTTCACTCAGCATTAGGAGAAATCACCTCACCTCCAAGCCTGAGCTTCTGAAACCTGTGTTAATCTACTTTTCATCAGTGGAGGCCTTTTGGCTAAAATAATCCATTTGACCCTAGACCTCCTATTCCCGGGAGTTTGCCCTCTGACCTTCCCACTCTCACTGGAAAAAATTAGTGTGGCTTTGGCTGCGGCCTGTGTTTTGATTGGCAAGTCAATGAATAATCTTCATTCTCGCTCTCAGTAGCGGGGCCTGGCACACAAGGTCATTTATCCCCCAATGCCAAATTGGCAGCAAACATGCATCAAAGATGGAACCATCCAGCAGACACACTTAAAACCCAAGAAATGTATGTTAATTATCCCCACGGCCCAGAGTGCTGGACTTTTGTAGGCCAGCGCTTCATGAGGTGTAATTCTGGATGCCAGTGACATCAAAGGCGGTGAGTTGAAACTTGAGTGAGACAGAACTTCCAAGGGGATACAGCACCCATCCGGCAGGAGGCTAGAGATGGTGTTTTTGCTGTTACAGAATGGATTTTTTAACAGTGGGGGTAAATAATTACTGGAGCAATTTACCAAGGGAGGTGGTAGATTCTCCATGCTTTAAATCAGGATTGGATGTGTCCTGCTAACAGAGCTCAACCAGGAGTTGGGGGCTTGACACAGGGATCAGGCTAGATGATCAGAATGGTCCCGTCTGGTTTCAAAAGCTCTGAAATGGAATTTCCACATTAGACCCTGGATGTTTGCAGAGGATTGTTGCCCATGGAGATGACATCACTCACAGCCAATCAGAAAGCTCTGTCTGTTGGCGCTATGGGGAATTGAAGTATGGGGAATCGTGTTCATCTGGGCAGTGTGTTCTGGGAGGCAGAGGAGGGGGGACCCTCCAAGGGGTTTGTTCAGTGTGTGTGCACATGTGTGTTGGGCAGCCATCAGCCCGAATGGACGTTAACCAGAACACATTTGGGAGGCTCCTGCTGGTTTTGTGAACCCCTCCCCCTCCTCCTCACTCTCTGTGTCTCTCACTACTGCAGCTGGCGCCTGGTTCTCCCTTGGTACACCAGCGGCACATGCAGACCACTGCCCTGGTACCCTACGGAGGCAGTGAGGTTGTGGCCCGGGGGATGAGCAGAGTAGACTGTGCACTTGCTGAAGGTGCAGCGATAGTGTAGGGTGGGAGTGGGTGAATTGTGTTTCTGTGCAAAGTGGGGGAATGTGTGTCGGGGTGAGAGCGGTTGTTAGGGGCGGGAGAGTCTGTGTGTGTGTGTGTATGTGTACGCGCACACAGTTGGTACAGGGACCAGGGCCTGAGGAGCCCAGACCACATGCTCTCAGGGACCCGTTCACGAGGGACCAAGGGGAATGAACAGCAGCAAGACATGGACCAAATGACAGAGCTTGAGGAAGAGGAGAGACCTAACTTAGGGGGCAGATAATCACACTTCTGCCTGCTGCAGGGTTTTCACACCTTCCTCTGAAGCATCTAATGCTGCCACTGTCAGAGACGGGCCAGGTCTTGGGTCTGATCCACGACGGGCAATTCGTACGTTGCTGTGAGAGAGGAACCCATGAGAGCCGATGCAGGAGTTTAGTGGGAAGAAATGGAAGGCAAAAATGAAGCTCTGAAGCTGTGAGGAAGGGGCAAGAGCGAGAGAGGGAAATTCCTCTCATTCTTTCTGGCTAAGGTAGCGCTCTCCACTTCCAGCGTCTGCTTTTTGTTCAGGTCACATCTCAGGCAGCCCAGGGTCCCTCTGCTGCTCCAAGGAAGAAATAAATGGTTACTCATGGAGCTGTCCCGGCTTCACTCGCCAGAGCCTGAATCACCAGGAAGATGTCATTCAACATTAACCCATTCACCACTGGGGAGTCCAAAAAACACAGCCCATGGGGGTGGTGTGTTTCTACTGGCAGAATGGTGGGAGGCCAGTGAGGGGATGTGACTCGTGTGGGGAACCAGGACAGTGAGAAGCAGCGGGAGCAGGAACTGGCTGGCAAATGAACTTTGGGATGACATGGAGCTGGGTGATGCTTCTAAAAGAGGGATCCAACTTACTGTTTTTGTTGATGCTTTATGCTGCTGTTGTTGTTCTGATCCAGTTTGTGACACTGGAGTTTAATTGAGAGTCTTGACTGGCTGATGGGAGACCTAGCAGTTACCAATCATTTGGGAAACAATCAAGAATCTGTAGGAGATTGCAAGTTGGGAGCTGAGGGCTGCACTTGCTACTTGCCAGAAGTCCTGAGGCTGCGCTTACTCAGCAGTAAATGAAGCAGATGGCAGTGACCCTCATCAGAAGGCCGTGTGGTCTGCGAGGCCCTGTGGCCATGTCAAGAGCATAGGACTGGGAGTTGGGACACTTGGTGTCCAACCCCAACCCTGTTACTCTATGACCTTAGGTCAGTCATCCATCCTCCGTACCTCACTTCCCCATCTGTTAAATGGGGATAATGATACTGGTAATCATAAAATAAATGAAAACGATTACCCTTCTCATCAGGGTGGAAGTGCAGCCCATACAGCCGATGATATGAAAGCATGTGTGAAAGATCCTTGCATTAAACCTTGAATAAGTGCATCCTCGCATATCTTCTGTCACCCGGGCGTGATCCAGGTGCTTTTGCAAGTATGGAAATGCCCAGCGGGCAGCACAGATCAGGACGGGGCACTGCATACTGGGACCTGTAGTCTTTGTGGGCCACGTTGCAGTGTTAAGGATGAAGAGGGTCATGTTGGAGAATTTCCTGGACCATGTTTCACCCGCTGGCTGCTGTTCAGCTATCACTCGGGGAACCCCATCTTCCAGGGAACCCACACATCTTGCCCTGGATTAGTTGTGTATCTTGTGGGTAGCTTAGGGGAATGAATTATCTTTTGATCCCAGAAGAGAGGGGCTCCTTTTAGGCCAGCCAGGTAGTTGTGGCATTGAATTGACTAGGCCTGTGGGAAGACACATGTATAAAAGGGAGTGACCCTCTCCTGCATTTACCCCTGCCTACAAAGTCTGTCTGGTCTAATAGTCTGATGGAGCTGTAAGTCTTTCTGTCAGTGGCTGTTCTGCCCTCCCAGTCACTCTTCTCTGACACTCAGACCTTTTGAAGCTCTGTTGTTCATTCTAAAAATTAAGACCTGGGAGGAGAGGAAGATGGCACGGTTTTTTCTTTGGCGGAAGGATGCCCCGTACTTTTTAATGCCTAGTGTGAAAAATGAGTCCTGGCACCTGTAATTATGTGCAGATTTTCATAAATAAAAAACGATGATGCTCCCCGTGATTTGAAAATTGAGGAGAGGGGGGAAAAAGATTGGATTTTGGTCTCCCAGTTGAAATGCTGAGTGACTGACTGGCTTGAGGGTGTTTCCTTTCCCACCTGTGCCAGGCAGGCAGCGCCCTCCAGAGGGGCCCTAGCCCAGATTGCAGGCCAGGGATCTTGGGAGGTGGGAGAAAGGGGGACTTGGTGCGAATACCACATATTTTCGCTGTTCCCGTGGTAACCAGCCCATTAAGGAGATACAGATTAAACCTCCCCAGCTGGTGCGTGTGTTTCTTTTCTGTAGCCCAAGTTTCCCCTCCCAGCCGGGACGTGCCATGGTGGGAGCTGGAGGCTGTTAGCAGCAGCAGCAGCAGGTGGTTCTGATTTCCCCAGGAATCCGGCTGCTTGGGGCGGGTACAGCCTGGCAGCAAGGCCAGGATGGGTCACTTGGAGAACGGAACCTGATGAGGGATCTCATCAGTCTCTCTGAAAGATCCTGTTCAGGAGAGAAACCCCCAAAGAATGTCCAGTGGCCCCCCCCCCCACATCCCTATCCCCATCCCTGCGTGGTTTCCTAGGTCAGCCTGATCCACCAGCACCGCCCCCTGTCCTGAGGAGCAGAATTCAGAAATCAGATCCCAGACGTTAAGCAGGGCTGGACCTGGGGGGTGAGAGGATGGGAGACCTCCAAGGGCAAGGCAGGGGTAGCAGGATGTGCTCACTCAGCGTGGAGCTCTCTCTTCCCTCTGAATCGGTATGAAGTCAGTGCTCCAATGTGTGGCGCAAGGAGGGGCTGTGTGATTGGACGGGATGCCTCTCTGTCGCCCAGTCGTTATGAAAGATTCTGTGGCACCTTGTATAAGAGCTGGGAGTGCCCCTGGCGGCCTGAGCGAATTCCAAGTCAAATAACTATATTCCCTTTCAATCCGGAACCATTCTGCCAGCCTAAAATCCCCCCTGCAGCTTCCATTGGCTATGGGATTCTCTTACGCTCTTTTCCCTAAGCGGCTGCATAGAGCGGCTGTGCACAGTTAAACAGCTGCTTTTGTTTGAACCCAGAACTAGCTATGGCACAATCCTATCAAGCACATTGGAATCCTTGGATAAATTACACTGTAAACCAGAAGTTCGCAGAAAGGGGTCTTGGGGTCACTGGTGACCCATGAAGCAGAGAGCCTGCTGGTGATCTGCACAGAGGTGGGCTAGTCACACGATCCTGGCTCCTCCTCCCAGTTTCCAGCTACTGAACTGCATTCAAAGACAACTAAAAATACATACAGTACTTCCCTATTGTGACTTTCCCACACTAGCCGTTCTTATAGTTGCCAGGGGGATGTTGTTTGGTTGTAAACATGAGGAGAACTGGCCTGTGTGATCATTAATGAGATGAGAAGTGTCCATGAAACACTCTGTCTGTTTATGCTGCCCCCCCGCTTCTCCCCCTATAAATGATCAGACCCCGCAGAGATATCAGTGTTTGTCCTTCAGTCTAACACATGCTGCCTTTTCCCCCTACCTCGGTGCACAGCCCCCCACCCACGTACCGGGTGGATGCGGACAAAGGCTTCAACTTCTCCGTGGGCGACGATGCCTTCGTGTGCCAGAAGAAGAATCACTTCCAGGTCACGGTCTACATCGGCATGATCGGAGATCCCAAGTACGTGAAGACTCCTGAGGGCCTGAAGCCCCTCGACTGCTTCTACCTGAAGCTGCATGGAGTGAAGGCAAGTTCTGGGGGAAGGGGGAGAACCCCGCAAGAGCTGAAGGCCATTTCAGGGTGCATGTGCGAGCGTGTGTGTCAGTGTCCGTAGGCCCACAGGCAGTGTGTGTGGCTGTGGGTGTTACCGTGTGTATGATCTTGTCAGTCTCTGGGTAGGAATGATGAGCATTATATCACTGTGTACTGTTTGCGGGTGAGTGCGCGTGTGGGTCCATGAGTGGAGTCTGTGTAGGGGAGCCAACATGTGTGATACAAGCATATGTGATCCGGCCTGCGTGTGTGGGAATCACAAGTTTTGCGTGACCAGGACGTTACCTAAAGGAAGGATAGGAGCCTTGTGCCATAGCCCCATCTGCTGGGTGAAGTCTAGTCATGAGAGAACAGGCAGTAAAGAGGGTTCCCCTGGGCAATCTCTTAGGGCTCTGTATGTGTGTACGTACATCAGTGCCTGTACATTTGAGTCTGTGTGTGAGGAGCAGGGAAGAGGCCGTCTGGCCCCGTCGGTGCAGACAACTCCTGCCCTCTCTTAAAGCTGGAGAAGAGGAGGGGGTAAGGGGACAAAGTAAATCTGGCCTTTTCTGAGCAGGGGTTATGGTGCCAGTGAGACAAATTCCCAGGGGGTAATTATGGGTGCCCAGACGCCGGGGTGATTGGCACTGTTGATGTACTGTGGGTAAGTGGCCGGATAGATTGTCCTTGGGACAATTGTGGCTTGGGAAAAGGGGCTGAGAGAGGAGAAAGCCATGCTGTTCCACTCTCTGTAATGTTCCTGGATCTTTCCCTTCAGTTAGAGGCCTTGAACCAATCGATCAACATAGAGCAGTCACAGTCTGACCGCAGCAAACGGCCCTTCAACCCTGTCACGTGAGTACTGCCCAGGACGTGGCGGCCTGAACGTGGGGACCCTGTCACAGGAGAGCCACCCAAGGAGAGGGGAGATTGAGGGACCCTGGTATGAGGACCCCTGAGGGTAGGAGGGCAGAGTAGGGCGAGGGGGTACTACGGGGAGCTGGCATGGAGGGCTCAGGCGGGTAGTGTATCTAAAGTGTTCTCTCTCTCTCTCTGTCTCCTTCACTTCCCAAAACAATGACTCCTCTCCCCTCCACGCCCAGAGCTCAACTAACCTGTGGTGGGTCCCCCTGACTCCCGGAGCCTGATCTGAGGCATTTTGGCAGCACCCTCTGAAGTGAGGGAGAGGTGGGAGTTCCCTAGATGATTGCAGCCGGGGGCTGATCTTCCCACATGAGGGGAAATGGCCGTTTTCTGTGCGACCTCCTTTCCAGCTCTGTGTCCTCAGTGGCTCCTCTGCTTCCCCCTCCAGGGTCAACCTGCCTCCGGAGCAGGTCACAAAGGTCACCGTGGGGCGGCTGCATTTCAGCGAGACCACGGCTAATAACATGAGGAAGAAGGGCAAGCCCAACCCTGACCAGAGGTATGGAGCAGCATGTTCCCGCCGAGCCTGCAACGGGGGTTTGGCGGGGCTGCGTACGTGGGACTCAGGGAGGCCAAACTGGGGAGCAGACTGCTGCAGAGCTGCCCCTGCTGGCCGGGAGCACTGCTGTTTCATGCAGGCGGCCGTGACAGGCAGAACGGAAAGGGGGTATGGGGATGGGTGCTGAGGAGCTGTCCTGCCAGGCACTGAATGCGCTGGCTGAAGCGTTTGCAGGGAGAGCCCCAGGGCAAGCATCCATGACCATCTGAAAGCTGGGCCTGGGGCTCCAACAGTGCTGCGGCCCCTGGCACCGTGCTGAGGAGCTGGCTCAGTACCAGCATGGAGGGAAGGGCGAACCCTACTCAGTCACTAGCACCAGTCACCGTGGTAACCTGGGTTTCTTTTCCAACCTCTGGTCTAAGTACCGAGCTGAGCCCAGCCCTGCTGAGCTTGTGAGCACCAATAGGACCCCCGCCTGGGCAGGTCCCGCTGCAGGCCTTGGAGGAGACCAGACTTGTAGACATGGCTACAGTAGAGGAGTGCTGCCATGGGGGCAGCGGATGTTTGGAGACCTGAGTGCTGGCGGGATCAGACAGTGCCCGTGAGAGGTGTGTCCCTGTCTGGGGGAAATGTAGGAATTCCAGCTGTGCCCCTGTCTGTGTGAGGGGAGGCAGTATCCGCCATGCCCTGTGCCCCCGCAGGGATGCGCTCCTCTCCTGCTGCAGATGACCCTTGTGGGTGTCTGTCATTTGCAGGTACTTCATGCTCGTGGTGGCCCTCCAGGCCCATGCCCAGAACCAGACCTACACGCTGGCTGCCCACATCTCCGAGCGCATCATCGTCAGAGTAAGTTTTTCTCCTGACTCACAGAACACCCCTATCCTCCCTCCGCCTCTCAGGGGCTCCACTGCCCTTTGCTTGACTGTTTGGGGCTCCTTGCCCCTTTCTCCTGGCTTTTCAGTTCCCCCACCAACCCTTTGCCTGGCTCTTCAAGACCCCTGCTGCCTTTTCCCCCCGTTCTCTGCCTGGCTTTCTGGGACCCCGCTCCCGACCCTTCCCGCACTTTATGAAGAAGGCAGCCCACGTGTTCCTGCAGGAGCCCAGCACAGAGAGACACGGACAGAGAAGAAGGCACGTTCTCCAGAAGGGGAGTGCAAGGCTGGGGATGTGTTGCCCGGGAAGGGGCTATGGGGAGCGAGGGCATGGTGCTGTCTTGGGACCTTCAGTGGGTGCCCTGGCTGAATTTTCCAGATGCCTGAGGGGCAGTAGTGCTGAAGGCTGTAGTCAAGGCCAGGCAGGAAAGAGACCGGATTCCCCTGACAGGTTCTCCCAGCGTTCAGCTAGTTGAGCTCTTGTCTCCCATGGGGAATCTAAGGAACGTAGCTCAGTTCTGGCCCCGCGTGGCTGCTCAGAAGCAGTGAGAGTCAGGCTGTGACGTTGTGATTGGCTGTCTCCGCCTTTTAAGTGCTTTGTCCGTTTCCTCTAGCAAAGGGCCAGTTCGGGGGTAAAACACAAACGGAGGGCGGACGGGGACCCCGGAGTCTGCAGACAAGTAAGTACATGACAAGCTATGCAGCCTCCGGGGGGCTCCACAACAGAGCTGTGGGAAAAGCAGACAGGCTGGACCACACAGACTCAACCCCCTGAGCAGGGCACAGCTGCAGCCGTGGCCTAGCCAGTGCGGAGATAAGATACAGCCCAGTAGCTCCCTGTGAGAGACCCCCCAGCAGCACCTTGCGGGATTCAGTATGATCCTTGCTCCAGGTTGGGAGAGTTGGCACATCCTGGTAGCCCCCTGCTCTCATGCAGTCCCAGTCCCAGCAGTGCTGGCCTCTGGGGAGATGAGTCTGTGTGGTCCTCGTTTTGGGCAGGGAGAGCATCAGCACAATTCCAGGGGCTCAGGTAGCGTAAGGCTCAGGAAATGGGAGAGGAAAGGTGCGGATGCAGATGCTGCGTTTAGTCTGATTCTATTGGCCGGTGCCTGCTGAGAGAGTCTCGATCAGAGAGCAGAGAACACCCCACTGCAGGGCTGTTTCCTCACAAAGTGCAGGCAGGGCTTTGTTGCCACAGGCATGGGGAGCAAAGTCCTCACCCCTCCTTGGCCCCCACAGAACCCCTGTCTCCTGCTCCTCTGTCTGGTTTCGTTGCATTGCTTCATACTGCGCAGAGCTCTGCATCACGCCCACAATGACCCCGGGGCCGTGTGTCCCCTCTGCTGGCCGTGCTGCCCTGCACTGGGAGGGGAGGGGGAGTCCAGGCAGGTTGCTCCCCTAGCAGCCTCCTGGGGAGCTGGTACTGCTGGCTTTCGAGCTCTGCGGTCACAACCTGATAACAGTTCAAGTACCTCCGCCTGAGCTTTTCCATCGGAGGCTGGACAGGGAGCCTCTTAGGGTGTGTCTGCACTGCAATAAACACCCCGCAGCCTGGCCACGACTGGCTGGGGCAGCAGGTTCACGCTATGGGGCTGTAAAATTGCAGTGTAGACATTCGAGCTCAGGCTGAAGCCTGTGCTCTGAGACCCCGCAGTGGGGGAGGGTCTCAGAGCCCGGGCTCCAGCCAGAACCCAAACATCTACACTGCAATTTTACAGCCCCACGAGCCTGAATCATCTGACCTGAGCCCCGAGTCTTGGGGCCGTGGATATTTTATCACAGGCGTATCCTGACATTGCTGGGTCTGCAGATGCTTGCCAGTTAAACCCAACATGGCTCCTTGTCCTTCCCAGGCTGCCCTGGGCTCCCAAAGGTTCCATCCCACCTCACATACAAGGTAACCTTAGAATAAGGGCGCAGCCTGGCTGCGCGGTTCAGTCTTGAAGCAGGCTCCATTGCTGCTCCTTAAGCCAGTTTACCACGTTTCCCCATCCCCGCTGGTGACTGGAAGCCCGGGCTAGAATGCAGACGCCATGAACCATGGCAGGCAGCCATGATAGCTCTGGGGTCTTCTCATCACATAGGAGTGTAACCCTCTGTGTGGGGGCATCCACGCACCGTCCATCCCAGCTGTACATGGCACCCTGGCCCTCTGGTGCGTGTTTCAGAGGGATGAGTCTGTTGAAGCCCCCAGTGCTCACGCTGTCTCTGCCTAACAGTACTGGCCCCTCTTTTCTTTGGTTTCGTCTCTCTGCTGCTGCTCTGGACGCTCTTCAGTCGCTGCCCTCTTGCCTCTCCACAGGCCTCTAACCCGGGGCAGTTTGAGAGTGACAGCGACGTCCTCTGGCAGCGGGCTCAGCTCCCTGACACGGTTTTTCACCACGGCCGAGTTGGCATCAACACCGACCGCCCTGATGAAGCCCTGGTGGTCCATGGCAACGTGAAGGTCATGGGATCACTGATGCACCCATCAGACATCCGAGCAAAAGACGACATCCAGGAGGTGAGAGCTGGGGAAGGCTGGCAGGACACAGGAGGCCAATCTGAGTAGGGTGGCGGGGCTGGAGAGGCACCTAAATCAGTTTCTGTACCAAATGACTGGAGGATAGCTAATGTGATGCCAATTTTTTTTAAAAGGGCTCCAGAGGTGATCCTGGCAATTACAGGCCAGTAAGCCTGACCTCAGTACCGCGCGAACTGGTTGAAACTATAGTAAATAACAGAGTTGTCAGACATATAGATGATCATAATTTGTTGGGGAAAAGTCAACATGGTGTTTGTAAAGGGAAATCATGCCTCACCAATCTACTAGAATTCTTTAAGGGGGTCAACAAGCATGTGGACAAGGGGGATCCAGTGGATATAGTGTACTTAGATTTTCAAAAAGCCTTTGACAAGGTCCCTCACCAAAGGCTCTTAAGCAAAGTAAGCTGCCACAGGATAAGAGGGAAGGTGCTTTCATGGATTGGTAACTAGTTAAAAGATAGGAAACAAAGGGTAGGAATAAATGGTCAGTTTTCAGACTGGAAAGAGGTAAATAGTGGTGTCCCCCAGGGATCTATACTGGGGCCAGTCCTATTCATCATATTCATAAATGATCTGGAAAAAGGGGTAAACAGTGAGGTGGCAAAATTTGCAGATGACACAATATTACTAAAGGTAGTTAAGACCCAGGCAGATGTGAAGAGCTACAAAAGGATCTCTCAAAACTGGCTGACTGGGCAACCAAATGGCAGATTAAATTCAGTTTTGATAAATGCAAAGTAATGCACATTGGAAAACATAATCCCAACTATAGATATAAAATGATGGGGTCTAAATTGCGTGTTACCACTCAAGAAAGAGATCTTGGAGTCATTGTGGATAGTTCTCTGAAAACATCTACTCAATGTGCAGCGGCAGTCCAAAAAGCGAACAGAATGTTGGGAATCATTAAGAAAGGGATAGATAATAAGACAGAAAATATCATAATCCTCTATATAAATCCATGGTATGCCCACATCTTGAATACTGCGTGCAGATGTGGTCGCTCCACTACAAAAAAGATATATTGGAATTGGAAAAGGTTCAGAAAAAGGCAACAAAAATTTTTAGGGGTATAGAACGGCTGCCATATGAGGAGCTATTAATAAGACTGGGAGTCTTCATCTTGGAAAAGAGACGACTAAGGGGGGATATGATAGAGGTCTATAAAATCATGACGCCTGTGGAGAAAGTAAATAAGGACGTGTTATTTACTCTGTCTCATAACTCAAGAACTAGGGGTCACCAAATGAAATTAATAGGCAGCAGGTTTAAAACAAACAAAAGGAAGTATTTTTTCACACAACACACGGTCAACCTGTGGAACTCCTTGCCATAGGATGTTGTGAAGGCCAAGACTATAACAGGGTTCAAAAAAGAACTAGATAAGTTCATGGAGGATAGGTCCATCAATGGCTATTAGCCGGGATGGGCAGGGATGGTGTCCCTAGCTTCTGTTTGGCAGAAGCTGGGGATGGGTGACAGGGGATGGATCACTTGATGATTACCTGTTCTGTTCATTTCCTCTGGGGCACTGGGCATTGGCCACTGTCAGAAGACAGGATACTGGGCTAGATGGACCCTTGGTCTGACCCAGTAGGGCCATTTTTATGTTCTAAAAGTTTGCGTGTTCATATGAGCATGCTCCATCTGCACAGCTGAGCTGGAGAGCCCTTGAGTACAGGGTCTCTCCGGAGAGCGTGTGAGCTGCCTCATACCCCGCAGGCTGGAAATCCCATGAGAACAGAACAGCCTCTCTCCCAGGCACAGCCTGTCTCATGGAATTTCAGCTCTTCTTCTAGCTGGAACCAGCAAGTGCCGAACAACAAACATGAAAACCACCAAAGACGTCAAGCCAAACTTTATCCAGCCTCAGATCAGAGTCAATCAGAGCCCTGTGGGAAGGCCCTGGCGGGTTTTTAATTTAACTGATCTGGATAATCTCTTCCAGCAAGGTCAAATGTTACTAGATGCAGTGAGGTCTTCAAATCTCTGAGAGCTGTCTTTGCCCCTTCCCATGGTGTGTGGGGATGTGATGGGGCTGGCTCCCTTTTCTTGAGTCATTTGACCTGGTCCTTTTTTGATGAATCCTGGATTTTAATCCTGGCTGGTTAGCAGACTGTGTCCAGCAGGTGGGCATTCTCATTCTGGGTCTGGTGTCTATGGGACCTGCCGCTGTGGACACTGATGAGAGCTCTTGTGGCCATTGCTCTTTGCTGCCTGGAGCCAGATTCTTGGACTATTAAAGAACAGCGTCCTACTTATAGATCTCATGTGTTTGCCTTGTCCCAGGTGGACACCACAGAACAGCTGAAGAGGATCTCCCGTATGCGGCTGGTGCATTATAACTACAAGCCAGAGTTCGCCGCCACTGTGGGCATTGAAAGCACGTCTGAGACAGGTACAGTCCCTGCACCAACCCACGGGCTTCATCCTCACAGTTGTATGCTATGGGGGAGTTCTAGTGCAAACTAATGTTGCTCTTTAGTCATAACTCGCAGCGCCCCCTGCTGCTCCATGCTAGCTGAGCTGATGTCTCTCAATCCTGCCCTGCAGCAGTCCAAAGAAATGATAGAATACATATATGGTATACAAAGAACCTGGGAATCAGTCTTTATCCAATTGTCCCTTTCCCAGCTGTTTTTCATTGGCTTTAGACTGAGGTTACATTCTGGCTGTGCGCAGGCCTTTCAGGAAATTAAGTCCCCTACACTCTATGTCTTGGTAGCTCAGGGATGGATATTGGTTTCTTATTAATCGCTGCATAGTGTGTGGGGTTCATGTCAGCAACCAAGTGACTTGTGAGAAGTAGTCAGCTATTGTGGAAGGCATCTCGGGGGCCAGAATCATGGTGAGTGGTGCTGTGGTTTCCGTGCAGGTGTCATTGCTCAGGAAGTGAAGGAGATTCTTCCCGAAGCAGTGAAAGACACTGGGGACATGGTCTTTGCCAATGGGAAAACCATCGAGAACTTCCTGGTGGTGAATAAGGTTAGTGGTACCTTCCACAGACCAGATGGGGGAAGAGTAGGAACTGGTGATTATAAGGGTGGGGGGAGGATGGTGAATTTTGGTGTGTTTTTCTTTTTCCCCTTCACGTAAAGGTAGAGGTGAAACAGAGTCAAAATCTGACGCCTGGGAAATGGTCTCTTGCCAACACTTTTAAACCAAGTCTTTCCTGCTTGAGTTTCAGCCAGATGTGTTCTGTGAGCTAGCATTGGCGTCACTCCGCAACCTGGACTCTGGACTCATGTCCTTCCTGGTTGGTGAGGGCCTCTGGGGAAGACCTGAGCCCAGCATTAGTGGGCATTGACAGCAGTTCTTGAGGGAGGGCAGGTTCCTGGCTTCCCTTAAGCAGGCTGTTCTGAGGCCTGTGCCCCGTCCCAAAAAAAATCACTTTCCAAATTAGGACTCTGTATCTAATCTTCCCATTCTGGTTCAGATGACAAAGGAGGTTGTGGCAAGACAGCTTGGAGTACCTGGCTCCCTCAGATCTCCTTGGCTCTGGGCAGTCTGGATCCAGACCCAGGTGTGGCCTGAGGCCACACTAGCTCCCTTGGAGATGATGTGCACCGTCAGGGGATAAAAATCAGGTGTCCGTGCTGATCTCACTAGATTTATCAGCTGCCTTTCGCATTGCTGACCATGGGGTTTGGTTGACTTGCCTGTAGACCGTAGTGGGAATGAACAGGGCCGACCTGGGTGACTCCGTTCCTTCCTGGCTCCAGGTCAATTCCCCTCTGCAGTTAGATGGCCAGGTGGCAACAGTGGCCAGGCATGTCTTTTTTCCCTTCTGCATCTGACTCTTGTAGGACCTTGTTACTGCCCCTGTGGTTTTGTACACTACCGACTGGATTCCTGCAGTGCACCATACAGGGAAGCAAGAGCTGGGGCTGAGCATGGTGGGGGCCTGCCTGTTTATGTGGTGTATCTCGCAAGGAGCATGTTACGCTGGGGCTGGACGATCTGCACTGGCTGCCTGCTGGTCGCTGGGGAGAGTTTAACATGTTGGTTTTGAGCTGGGACCTGCCTATTACTATGAATTACCTGCAGGGTCCAGAGCCCCCAAGCAAGGACCAGGCCTCCATTGTTCTAGGCACATAGATCAAACAGTTGCACACAGGGCTCAGGCTGGGATTGTGACAAGACCCAGTGGGGGGAAGAAACAGGGGAAAGGGTTTGGGGATAATTAGGTGACACCTGAGAGTGCACCTCCTCCCACCCCCATGGGACAGCGCTGCAGTTGTGAGCAGTGGGGCCTGGGACTGGAGTGCCCTGGTGTACTGGAGGGACCGTGGCTGGCAGGGTGCTCGCTCTCTGGAGTGTCAGGATTGGGGGTGTAGGTGAATGTCTCTGTCATTGAGAAGGACTGTACACTGACAGTTGCCAAGGCCTGCTGGTGCCTGAGAGACTCTCCTTTATCCAGTTTTGAAATAAGCGCATTAAGCAATGTGTATAAATATCAGTGTCCCGATGGCTAGTCTGCAGTTGGGTGGGTTTCCTCTCATGCCTTCCCCACACCGGGGTGCTGAGCGACACACTGTGACCTTTCCACTGGGGAAGGGGAGGTCTGGAGTGGCTCAAGAGGACAACAAATTTGAAGGAGGCCAGGCAGGTCTGGGTGAGTCTGTCCCTCTGCTCCCGGAGAGGGCTCATGCAGAACAATGTGGCCCCTGGCAGGAGCGGATCTTCATGGAGAACGTTGGGGCGGTGAAGGAGCTCTGCAAACTGACCGACAACCTGGAGACCCGCATTGACGAGCTGGAGCGGTGGAGTCACAAGCTGGCTAAGCTCAAGCGGCTGGACAGCATGAAGTCAACGGTCAGCTCTGGGGCGTTCAGGTACAGGCGCCCTCCCTCCCTCTCCAAACATGGGGCAGGGGGGCAGAAAGGAGTGTCCCACCTCAGGCCTGTACACCAGTCAGCCTGCACTGGGGGGAATACAGGGAGATACCTGCCAAGGCACTGGGGTGGGGGTGCAGGGAGATTTCCCCTTGGGCGCCGGCAGCCTGGTGTTGGAGGTGGGTGTAGGGAAATTCCCCCTTGGATCCAGGTAGCCTGGCACTGCGGGAAGGAGGGCAATGCATGGAGATCCCCCCTCGGGCACTGGCTGCCTGGTACTGGCATGGGGGGTATACAGGGAGATTCCCCCTCGGGCACTGGCTGCCGGGCACTGGCGTGGGGGGTATACAGAGAGATTCCCCCTCGGGCACTGGCTGCCTGGCACTGGCGTGGGGGGCAATACAGGGAGATTCCCCCATCGGGCACTGGCTGCCGGGCAGTGGGGAATGTGGGGAAATCAGGACTTGGTGCGGTGCTGGGATAATGGGGACTGGAGATGATCCATGAGCTGCTGTTGGGGAAACAAACTGAACCTCGGGCTGTGTACGAGACTGCAGCATGGAAATGGCAGCCCGGTCCGACCGTCCGTCCCAGGGTGAGCCGCGTCCTGAGGGTTAATGCTTTCTGACCCGTGAGGAGCAGGTGAAGCCCGTTTTTCAGGCCCTGCCTGCCGGATGGCTCAGTGAGGGGGCAGAGTTCACCCTGCATTTCCTTTCACCCCTTTGGGCCTTCGCCAACAATCAGGCTGTCGGACAGGGCCCTTTAGCCCACCGTGGTGCTCAAAGCTTTCCTCCTGCCGTTACTGAGTCAGGTTCCCAACCTGCACCCCATCCCACCCAGTGGGCTCCCCTGGGGGCCTGGCCAGGCACATCTCACCTCAACTCCTCTTCTCTGCTTGCAGCCAAACAGGAAGTCAGTTCAGCCGTGCAGGAAGTGTGCCCCACAAAAAGAGGCCCCACAAAATGGCCAGCAAGGTATGGGGGCCTTTTGTGAAGGGATGTGGGGTGTGAGGTGGGGGGCTGTGTGTCTGGACAGTGTGGGTGTTCTGGGGCAGTGGTGCAGAGCCTGGGGGCTGTGTTCTGCAGTGGGGGACATGTGAGCGGGGCCTATGTCAGGCCAGAGCTGGCTGTGTCCTCTTCCTGCTCCTAGTGCCCTGCGGCCATCCTGCCTCTCGCAGCGGGGCTAGCCAACGCCTTGTGGATGAGCCATCCTGCTGCTGCTTCAGGGACCACCAAAGGGCATTGTGGGATGCAGGAGGAATGGCCTCCTGCACTGCAGTCCTCCCATCCTGGGGAAGGCTGGGGCCCGGGGGAGAGGCCCCAGGGCAGAGTGGAATAGAAATGCAGTGAGCCCTGCACCGGCCGGGCAGCTGATTCCCCTGTGTTTCTCCTGCAGTCCCCATCTGTTATCACGGAACAAGCCTGCATCAGCCAGCGCTTCTTGCAAGGCACCATCATCGCCCTGGTCGTCGTCATGGCGTTCAGGTGAGACACTGCACAGCCCCGCAGCTGCTCTCTGCCCTCAGCACTGGGAGGCGCTTCCCCCGCCCCATGGCACAGCCAGGGTGGGGACTAATCTGGGGAGATTCCCCCAGCCCCATGGCACAGCAGGGGTCTAGCCTGGGGAGATTCCCCTCGCCCCACAGCACAGCTGGGCTCTAGGGGGAGGGATAGCTCAGTGGTTTGAGCATTGGACTGCTAAACCCAGGGTTGTGAGTTCAATCCTTGAGGGGGCCACTTAGGGATCTGGGGCAAAAATCAGTACTTGGTCCTGCTAGTGAAGGCAGGGGGCTGGACTCGATGACCTTTCGAGGTCCTTTCCAGTTCTATGAGATAGGTATATCTCTGTTTATATATCCCTGCCCCTCCCCCTCCCCACGTGGCTCCGCAGGGATGGCTCTGTTCTATTTTAAACGTACCATGTTTTCCTGAATGAATTTGTGACAAAATGCCCCAAATGCAAGAGCAAGTGATAGAAAACCAAGTGCCTCTGCTAACAACACCACTCAGCGACTCCTGTGGCTAAGCCCTGCCCACGGCTGGCCCCTTGGCACGTGGCATTCCCTTGCCGTCAGCCACCTGCCTCTGCAGGACATTCCACTGGTACATGGCGTTGTCCTGCAACACATCACCCACCTCTGCATGGCACTCCTCCAGCATCCCGAAGCTCTGTGCTAGTGCCCCTCTGCAAGCCACAACACTGTAAAACGACAGGAATCTTCGTACTTCACAAGTTCCTTGTAGCTTTTATCTGAGGGTCTCGGAACACTTTGCAAACAGTGATGAATGACAGCGCTGGGCAAGGCGGGTCAGTATTGTTCTGCAGATGGGGCCATCAGGCAGAGAGAGGGAAGTGATTGGCCACGGTCACACAGGGAGTCTGCAGCAGAGCTGGGAATGGAACACAGGTCTCCTGACTCCCTTAATCACAAGACCATCTTTCCTCTTGAAAATCAGCCCAGGAACAAGGCAGATACCTAACCCTTGTCTTGCCTAACTGCTCCGGAGCGCGTCCTGACACCCACACCCACACCCCTCCACGTCTGTGGCACTTGCTGCAGTTCTCTCACTGAGGGCAAGGACTGCTCAAGAATCTGTTAGGCAGCTTCACCAGCACAACCGTCTCGCCGTGCACTGCCCCCAGAGCAGGGGCTCAGATGTGCTAAGCTGCCTTTTGTTGAAGGGAGAGATCCCCGCCCCGGCCTCTCCAAACCCAGCCCCTTCCAGCCCTCGGGTCTCTCACCTCCACTGTGACGCCCTCCTGCTCGCTGACTCCGGCTGGTTCCACTAAAAGCATCTTCCTCAACAGCCACACTGGGCCTGCCCCCCTCCCGGCGCTGCTCCATCCCACCTCAGGGTTACGGTTCCTGGGACAAACTGGTTCCTGGAGTAAGTGGGCACAGCTCTTACTGATATCCATGGAAGTCACACCTGCTTACTTGGGGCTAAATTTGGCCCCTGGCTTCACCTGGGCTACATATTCTGCGCCACCAGCACCTCCCACCAATAGAGGGGGGCCTCTGTTTCCTTCTCCAGCTCATGTTTCCACGCGTCCCTCTGTGCTGGCCCCTGTATCTGGAATGCCCTTCCTATCCCAGATCCCTTTCTTCTCCTCCGTCTGCCGTCAGCCTCAGTGCTCCTGCTTGAGCAGTGCTCGTCTATTGCCTGTTCAGACAGGGGAATAGCTCATGGCAACCCCCCCCAGCCAACTAAAGAGCTGATGATAAAAAGAGCCCTGGATGAGGACCCTGTAAGCATTATCTGGGCTCGGGAGGGAGTGGTAGCTGGCCTGCAGCTGCCCACCTAACCTTGATGGGTTTGGACCATTGAGACAGATAGCCACTGTGGTACTGCAGAGGGAGAACCTCCTTCCTCCTGCCATAGTGCAGATATTTATCCCCGGGCGTGTAATCTTCTCTCTCCTTCCCAGTGTGGTGTCCATGTCCACCCTCTACGTGCTCAGCTTGCGCAATGAAGAGGACCTCGCAGATATTGATGGGTACGTGTCCCCTTCATGCATGCATCCTCCAGAACGTGTCGTGGCTTCCTTTGTTCCCTGGGGGCCTGCAATACTTGACAGACTGGAGGGAATATAGAGATGAGCAGAAAAGGCACAGGGCTGGAGGGATAGGTTTGTGCAGCGAGATTAAAGGAATGATGTGGCTTTGCCCAGACAAGTCAATGGTGGGGAAGTAGGGTTATGGTGCTAGTCTTTTAAATCTTAACTGGGAACAGAGGGTGAAACTGACCAAGATATATCTATAGAGATATCAGGTAGGTGAGAGAGACAAGCTTTCGAGCCACACAGAGCTCTTCTTCAGGGTTGGGAAAGGTACTCCCAACATCACAGCTAAATGCAGGGTGGAACAGATTGTCCAGCGTAAGTAGTACATATTGTAAGGGACTATTCAAGGTAGAGCGGCCCGTTAACACGTCTGCAGTCATAGGACAAAAAGAGGGGGTTAGTGAGTTACAGGTTGTTGTAATAAGCCACAAATCCAGTGTCTCTCTTCAGTCCCTGATTTTTAGTGTCTAGCAGAGTAATGAATTTAAGTTCCCAGGCTCGTCTTTTGAAAGTGTTGTGCAGGTTTCCTTTGAGGATGAGGACTGAGAGATCGGATATGGAGTGATCGCTTTGTGAAAAGTGCTCACCCACAGCTTATAGGGTGTTTTGTGTCTTTTATCATTTTCCTGTGTGAGTTCAATCAAGAGTGTAGTGACTGTCTGGTTTTACCCACGTAGTTGTTACTGGAGCGTTTAGTGCACCGAATGAGGTACACCGTATGTTGTGATAGGCATGTGTAGAACCCATGGATCTTGACAGGTGTGTTGTGGGGGTGCTGGTCATTATAGCAGTGGAAATATGCCTGCAGGTTTTGCATCTGTTGTTCTGGCAGGGTCTGGTGCCGCTATGCATTGGTGTGTCCTGGTCTGTGGGGAGCTTGCTTCTGATGATGAGCTTGGAGAGGTTGGGGTTTTTTTGAAGGCCAGACGAGGGGGTTCATGAAAGCTTTTTTTCAGGATGGGGTCCCCATTGAGCATGGCTTGTAGTTGTTTGATGATACCCCATAGGGTTCCAGTGTGGCATAGTAGGTGATAGCTTAGGGTTGTGTGGTCAGAGGGGGGTTTATTTCTGTACTGCAGCAAGTTCTGCCAGGTATTTGAGAGGGTAACAAGCCTTGTGGATAGGGGGAAGCAGTAGATGTGGTATATCTTGACTTCAGTAAGGCTTTTAATACTGTCTCGCATGACCTTCTCATAAACAAACTAGGGAAATACAACCTAGAGGGAGCTGCTATAAGGTGTGTGCATAACTGGCTGGAAAATCCTTTCCAGAGAGTAGTTATCAGTGGTTCACAGTCAAGCTGGAAGGGAATATCAAGTGGGTCCCATGGGGATCAGTTCCAGGTCTGGTTCTGTTAAATATTTTAATCAGTGATTTAGATAATGGCATAGAGAGTACACTTATAAAGTTTGCAGACGATACCAAGCTGGAAGGGGTTGCAAGTGCTTTGGAGAATAGAATTAAAGTTCAAAATGATCTGGATAAATTGGAGAAATGGTCTGAAGTAAATAGGATGAAATTCAACAAGGACAAATGCAAAGAACTCCACTTAGGAAGGAACGATCAGTTGCACACATACAAAATGGGAAATGACTGCCTAGGAAGGAGTACTGCGGAAAAGGATCTGAGGGTAATAGCGGACCACAAGCTAAATATGTGTTAACAGTGTAACACTGTTGCAAAAAAAGCGAACATCATTCTGGGATGTATTAGCAGGAGTGTTGAAAGCAAGACACGAGAAGTAATTCTTCCGCTCTACTCCATGCTGATTAAGCCTCAAGTGGAGTATTGTGTCCAGCTTTGGGTGCCACGCTGCAGGGAAAATGTGGACAAATTGGAGAAAATCCAGAGAAGAGCAACAGAAATGATTAAAGGTCTAGAAGACATGACCTATGAGGGAAGATGGAAAAAAATGAGTTTGTTTAGTGTGGAGAAGAGAAGACTGAGAGGGGATATGATAACAGTTTTCAAGTACATAAAAGGTTGTTACAAGGAGGAGGGAGAAAAATTGTTCTAATTAATCTCCTGAGGATAGGACAAGAAGCAATGGTCTTAAATTGCAGCAAGGGCAGTTTAGGTTGGACTTGGGGAAAAACTTCTTAACTGTCAGGTTAGTTAAGCACTGGAATAAATTGCTTAGGGAGGTTGTGGAATCTCCATCATTGGAGATTTTTAAGAACAGGTTAGACAAATACCAGTCAGGGATGGTCTAGATAATACTGAGTCCTGCCATGAGTGCAGGGGACTGGACTAGATGACCTCTCGAGGTCCCTTCCAGTCCTATGATTCTGTGTTTTCTTGCATGATTTCCAGGTAACTTTCCTGTGTTTTTTTCCTTCAGTGTGTGAAAGCTTAAATTCATTGCTCTACTAGACAGTAAAAATCAGGGACTGAAGAGAGACACTGGATTTATGGCTTATTACTAGGGCCCTACCAAATTCTCGGTCCATTTTGGTCAATTTCACGGTCCTAGAATTTTAAAAATAGTAAATTTCATATATTTAAATCTGAAATTTCACGGTGTAGTAACTGTAGGGTCCTGACCCAATAGGGGACACTGTGTGTGTGTGTGGGGGGGAGGGCCTGCAAGGTGGTTGTTGGGGGGGGTTGCAGAATTGCCACCCTTACTGCTGGTGGTGGCGCTGCCTTCAGAGCTGGGCAGCTGGAGAGTGGCAGCTGCTGGCCGGGAGCCCAGCTCTGAAGGCAGAGCCACTGCCAGCAGCAGCACAGAAGTAAGGATGGCAGGGTATAGTATTGCCACCCTTACTTCTGTGCTGCTGCCTTCAGAGCTGGGCCATTGGCCAGCAGCCACCACTCTCCAGCCACCCAGCTCTGAAGACAACAGCAGCACCTCAGTACAATAACCCGTATGAACCCCCCACAACCACCTTTTGGGTTGGGACCCTCAGTTTGAGAAATGCTGGTCTCCCCCATTAAATCTGGTCTTTTGTGTACGATACAGATTTCATGGGGGAGACCAGATTTCAGGATTCATGAATTTGGTAGGGCCCCTACTTATTACGATAATATGTAACCCACTAACTCCCTCTTTTTGTCTTATGACTATATCTTAATGGGCCACTCTACCTTGAATGGTCCCTTACAGTATGTTCCACAAACAATCTATTCCACCCTGCATTTAGCTGTGATGCTGGGAGTACCTTTCCCAGCCCTAAAGAAGAGCTCTGTGTGGCTCCAAAGCTTGTGTCTCTCCCCAACAGAAATTGGTCCAATAAAAGATATTCCCTCCCCCACCTTGTCTCTCTAATCCCCTGGGACTGACATGGCTACAACTACGCTGCATACAAGATACATCTATGCCAGCAAACCTTTCCTGACAGTGAGTTGTGGTGGGCTGGGGAACAGTCCCCCAGGGTAGTGGTGAAAGGCCTATCACTCGAGGTGCCTAAAATGGATTGAACAATCCCCTGGTGAATGGGCTGTAGGGCCTCAGTGGGAAGGATTTGAAGAGACCCGTCAGGCCTTTTCCATCGCTGATGCCTGTTGGTCTGTGGTATTAGACATGCAGCTTTATCCAAACAGCCTTTGGGTAGCTGCCTGAGGAATGACAGGTTGAATTTGGCCACTGGGGGGAAGCCCATAACAGTAACGTTATTAGGAGCTCCTTGACAGTAGAGACTAATGAGCAGATGCTGCAGAGTCCAGCCAAAGTACGTTCCCTCGTTCATGCCAAGATCAGTGGGCAGAGATCAGAGTGATGCCTTCTCTGTTTAGTTGCCTCAAGCAAAATGGGAGAAGCAGAGGAAGGAAAAACAGTGTACTGATGTTTTGCTAGAAATGTGCCTTTGCGGCACCTGTTTAAACAGCTGCTCCCGGGTGTCTGGAGCAATTGGCTGCGTAGCTAAGAATCAGCAGCACTCCGCTGACATCAATGGAGCTAGGCCAGCTTGCACCAGCGGAGGCTCAGTCTCTCTGAGGAGAGCCTCCTAGGGCCTGAGAAGAGAACCTGAGCACAATGCCCTGCTCAGATTCTCTGCCCACTTTGCTCCTGCAGGGACAGCGGCAGACAGGGTCTTTGCAGACTCGCCTCAAGTCATTGTTGGCACTGGCATTACTGAATAACTGATCTCTCCCTTTCCCTCTCTCTTCCTCCCATTTCTGGCCATCTCCCTTCTGCCCCATTTACTTCTCCATCCCAACCCATTTTCATTCCTGTATTTTCCCGTCCCCTTCCCTCCTTTCCTCTATCTTTTCATTTCTGTTCTCCTCCCTTTCTTTCTTTCTCTTTCCCTCTCTCCTTGTCTTTCCTCCTCTCTCTTCTTGGTGCCCTGCAGCTCTTTTGCTGTGCCCACTTCCTGTCTCCTGGCCCTTTTTCGGCACAGGGGCACGGTTGCTCTGTGCCCACGGTACGTTACTCTTCTTTCATTGTACTGTTGGTTTGAGTGCTGCCTCCCTTCTCCGCCGCCTCTTTTTCTTTCTCCTCTGTCTGCGTTACAGAAGGCACAGACGCTCCTAAACAAAACAGGAAGGCAAAGGGGAAAAACCAGCATGGCTGAATGGCCAGGCCATTTGAGTCAAACGGGTATCCTTCCGACTATGGGGATCCAACCCTAGTGAAGCCAGCAGGAAGGAGCCTGGATGTGAGCGGGCAACGTGTAAGATGGGAATTGGGGGGGCTAAGATGGAATTTGAAGAGCAAATAGCTAAAGGGGGATTAGAAACAAAGAAAAAGACATTTTGAAAGTCAATCAGAAGCCAAAAAGCAGCAAGAGACTCATTAGGTTGGCAGGACCATCGGGGAGCAGAGAGAGCATGTGTGGAGGGTACGGGTAGGGTTCTGCCACCTGTACTCCTGCTCAGTAGAGCCACCATACGCAAGTAGCTTTTCTGCCAGCTGTGGGACCAGCCCCGGAGTATGGTGCTACTCACAGTGAGCAAGGGTGGCTGAATCAGTCCCCAAACAATTCCGTTATCTGAGTGTCCGCCACAGCAGGTGTTGGAGAGACACCCACCCAGCCCTCTGACTCGCCGGTAATATAAGAATGAGGTGGCAAAAGAGGAGGTGCTGGAACACGTGAATAAATTAAAGAGCAACAAGCCATCCAGAGCCCAGGTACAGCCAAGAGTTACGAAAGGGCTGAGCTGCCAACTATAATCTGTGATCTCGCATTAAAATCAGCTCCTACACCGGAAGAACAGAGGGCAGCAACTGTTGTACTTAGCTTTAAAAAAGACACTGGGAACTGCGGCCCAGCAAGCCTCACTTCAGTTAGGGAAATGGGCTGAAATATTAATTAAAAAGAGAACTATAAACCACCTGCGTGATCAAACCAGCACAGCTTCCAAAAAGAAAAATCATGCCTCATCACTCTCTTAGAACCCTTTGATCACGTCAACAAAATAGTGGATAAAGGAGAAGTGGGTGGCATGATTTATTTGCACTTTGAAAAAACCCTTGACATGGTCCTTCACTGGAGATAGCAAGTAAGGAACAAATGTTGACTTAAGTGGTAGTGAGACAGGGCCTCAGTGTTGAAATATGTAAAGTAATGCACGCAGAAGGGAATAATATGAACTATTCCAGTGCCTTACTCGGCTCTAAATGTGACCATTCTGGAAAGATACCTGGGCATCTTTGCAGTCAGCTCAGTGAAGACCCCTACTCAAACTGTCGCCGTGGTCAGGAAACCAAATCAAGTGTGAAGGTGCAAGAGGAATGGAGTGGAGAATAACCCTGACAGTATTATCTACTGCTGTTCTAGATCATGAATGAGCCACATTCACTTGGCATCCTGTGATCAGTTCTGGTTACTGTGTCTCAAAAAGAGCAGAGCTCTGGAGCTGAGCAGTGGATTATTGAGGGCGTGGAGAGATTTCCTTATGAGATGAGAGAGAAAAGATGGGGGTGGGGGAGCGGTTTTGTTTAGAAAGGAGGTGGGTCTGAGAAAGGAGAATACAATAATGACTGGGAGGGATATGGTAGACCAGGGACTTCTCTTCACCCTTTCTTGTAATGCTAGAATAAGGGGATATTCAAGAACATAGTAAGGCAATACATTTGAATCTGATAAAAGGAAACCCTTTACACACAGCATAATTAGTGTGTGAAACCCACAGGCACAAGAGATGATTGAGACACAGGGCTACTGGGTTCAGAAAAGGATTAGACGTGTGTCTGGTTAAGGATACCCTCCGCTTATGTTGGGGAGCACCAAGAGATCTTTTAGAAAGGATGTAAAGCTCCATGCTTCAGGCAATAAACTAACCCCTAGCTGACCGGAACAGAAAGAAACTTCCCCTGGGTGCAGGTTATTCCATAATTACCTACTAAGGAGCTTCTTAGAACTTCTTCTGAAGCAGCTAGAGCTGGTCAGTGCCAGATCCAGGATCCTAGGCTAGATCTGGCCTGACAATCCCTGTATTCCTAGCTCTGCTCTGTCTCTGCCAACCATTTCCTTCCCCAGCCTGGCACTTTCCCCCTTTCCTGTCCTGCTGACTACTTGCCCATTCTTCCTCTTTCTCCATGTCTGCTCTCAATCCCTGTCCCATCTCCCAGCTTTTGCTTTCCCTCCATGTCTGCTCTGCCTCTCCCAATCCCACCCTGCCCATTGCCCCTCATACCACCCTTCTATACAGATCTAGACAGTGCTTGTGTTTCTTATGTGAAAGGCTCTTACACACATTTCCTGCATTTCAGATTAAATCAGAACTTTGATAAGACTCAGCTTGTTTCTTCCACGGCTTCGTCAGACAGACCTAGTGATGGCACTTCACCGCACCCTGGTAGGTAACAGCTCTGCAGGCGGGAGCGGGGAGCGAGTGGCAGGGGACATGCTTCTGCTCCAACCAAGCCACCGCAAACAATGCTGGCAGTTCTCTGGCAGTTCCATGTACAATAGTAGAGCTCATGCACTTTCCCAGAAGCTTTGATATAATAGGGGATGCAGCCATGTCTCGGGGGAGGGGCGTGTTCCCAGGGACTGTAATATAGCAGAGGGGATGGGGCCGGGTCTCAGTGCTGGGGGTTCCCAGGCGCTGGGATACAGCAGAGGGGATGGGGCTGGGTCTGAGTGCTGGGGGTTCCCGGGTGCTGGGATACAGTAGTGGGGGTGGGGGTTGGTCTCGGCGCTGGGGGGTCCCGGGGGCTGGGATACAGCAGAGGGGATGGGGCCGGAGGGTCCCGGGGGCTGGGATACAGCAGAGGGGATGGGGCCGG